CCTGTGAAATCATCAATATTGAAAATATAACACCATGATAAGATTTCGTCTCAGCTCCCCGCAATGAACATATTAAATAGAATTTAATACCGTTACCCCTTTTGTACACTCCAAAGAAAACGTACAAAATAGATCTTATAGCGTAAACTAAAAAAAAAATCTCACGTAAACTCAGAATACCAGTCATTCACAATACATTAAAAATCACAGTGGAAACGATTCATAGTGAAATATTTCCCCAAGCCCCTGAACACAAATTAATGAATAAAACGACGGGTAAGCTAGGTCAGCAGGTGTCTTGGAAGAGATGAATAAGAAGCTTCGAGACATTGGGAAGCGAGTGGCCTGATAAAATGGTGTCGGCGTGTTCGGATGCCATGCTCCGGATGTGGGTGACTTTCATCACCAGTTTGGCCCATCTGCGAAAGGTCAAAGGTCAATTAGGGAATCTGATGAGAGTGAGTGTGAGGAATGTGAGGGATGGAGAGGAGGAGAATAAAAGGGACAGGGAGGAGGAGAGGAAGAGGGACAGGGAGGCGGAGAGGGAAAGGGGCAGGGAGGAGGAGAGGAAAGGAGGGGAAGAGAGGTAGAGGGGAGGAGATGAGGAGAGAAGGAGAGGGGAAAGAGGAGAGAGGCTGGAGAGGAAAGGGGACAGGGAGGAGGAGAGGAGATGGGACAGGGAGTAGGAAAAAGGGGAAGCGGATGAGGGGAGGAGAGGAGGGGAAGAAGAAAGGAAAGGAGAGGAAGAAGATGAGGGGAGGAGAGGAGGGGAAGAAGAGAGGAAAGGAGGGGAAGAGGAGGAGAGGAAGAGAGGGGAGGAGAGAAGGAGGGGGAAAAGAGGAGAAAGAAGAGTAGGAAATCACGTTTCACTGAATATTTTCCCTCCACTATGTAACAATACTGAAAAAGCTTAATCTCCAAGAAATAGACCTAAATAGAACAAAAAAAAAAGAGCATAGGTCTTTACCTAATCGGCTGATCAGGGCATGCAGTTGCCACGTATCGCTTGCAGGCTACCAAAAGAGAGTCCTGTACAGCCTCCACACTCTCCATGTCCGTTAGTCCGGGGCGGTCTGGGTGAAAGAAAGCGTTAGTCTCCGTTACTTTCGAAGTTCAGTAATGAGAAAAAAAGTCATGAAAACGAATGGAAATTAAAATATACGCAAGAAAGCTTCCGTTCCGGGAATGTAAACTTTCATACAAGATCTTTAGAAAGTACACAGATTGTGAATCAACTTTCCCTTTGAATTTCCACGGGAATATAAGAGACTTCTCAACTCACCTGTCTGCAGTGCCACGAGCGCCGTGAGGAGTGCCGCTTCGGTGCTGGAAAGGTGCAGGCGGGCCACGGAAGCGCCAAGTTCGAACATGGGGTGGACCAATGCCCAAAGCGCCCCGCCCATGGCTGTCTGGACCTGAAGGCAAAAGAACAATGGAGATTATGATAAGGATAAAAAGAAAAGATGTAGATAATTCTATTCTCATAAATCATCAGGGATGTACTGGTCGTTCTATTCAAAAAACAATATTACTAAGCTGATAACACTTTATCCCTTATTACAAACAGTAGCAAAAAATCACAGAAATAACGAAACAAACAACAAAATATAAAGACGCAGCAACAAAACCTACACGGCAAAAGCAAGATAACACACACCTGAGAACCGCCTTTAACACCAACAACGAATAAACAAAAAATATAAAGATGCACCACCCAAACCCAAACACCAAAAAAAAAGATGACACACCTGAGACCTGCAGACTTGGCGACCGTTGCGAAGAGGCAGGGCTTTAGTGGCCGGGTTGTACCTCAGAGCCGTGCGCAAGAAAAGGACCTCCAGGACGCAGCCACGCAGGAGGACGAGTTGGTCGTTGGTGCTTAGCTGTTGGGTAAGAAGGATATTACTAGATAAGAGGAACAAAATTTTAGCCAATTTTTGGGTAGAGAGGAGTTTTCTGGGTAATGAGGAGGAAATTGGTCGGTAAGAAGGAGGAAGCTTTTGGGTAACGGAGGCGTGGAATGAAAGGCAAGATGAAATAAGATCAAGACTAAGGAGGAAGAATATATATATATATATATATATATATATATATATATATATATATATATATATATATATATATACATACATACACACACACACACACACACATATATATATATATTCAAATCGTAATATCTGACGAAAAAAGAGGAAAGAAAAATAAAAGGAGGGATGACATCTATGAACGAAGATGGCATCTTTCACTCACCGTGGAAAACCCGGGGATACTCTTGACGAACGCGACCACCCTAGCCATGGAGGGAGCCAAGATCTGGGTGGCCCTGGTCCACGCCTGGCCGTCTTCCTCAGCAGGCCCGCTCTCGCCAACCTCCGTTACTGTCGTCTGTTGGAGGGCGTGATGCGTTAGTAAATGTAGATTTGGTAGATGCGCGACGGTTATGATATTTGTGGTTGATCAATGGTAGATATAATAAGTCGGTGAATCCTAAATTATTTTTTATCTTGTATTTCCACACTCTCTATCCTTACATAAAGAAAATGAACCACGACCTACAGTATTAAGATTAGTTCCCCTCTATCTCCTTCCTTTCATCCCTCCCCACTGACCCCTTCTCTCCGTCAATTAAGAAAAGAAAAGAAGGAAAAATACTTCCATTTCCCTCAACTCACCGTGCAAGGGGCGGGCTTGGAGAACACGTCCTGATAGGCGGCCGCGATGGCTGCGACGATGGCCTTGTCCTCGGAAGTCGGTGCCGTGTGGAGACCCAGCGTTTCCACGGGCAGGGCCACAGGGTCTCCTCGTCGGCGCTCGCGGTTCTCCTCGACCAGCTGACGCTTGGCCACGCGCTGCTTCTCGTTCAGGACGTCTGGGGATTCAGGTGGTGATGATTAGCTTTGATGAGGACGAAACGAAGACGAAAAGATGAATAAAGACAATGATAAAGTTAGAGCTAAAGACGAAGACAAAATAAAAGAGCTAAAGACGAAGACAAAATAAAAGAGCTAAAGACGAAGACAAAATAGAAGAACTAAACACGAAGACAAAATAAAAGAGCTAAAGACGAAGACAAAATAGAAGAGCTAAAGACGAAGACAAAATAGAAGAGCTAAAGACGAAGACAAAATAGAAGAGTTAAAGACGAAGACAAAATAGAAGAGTTAAAGACAATGATAAAACGAAGACAAAGTAGAGGATAAAGGCTACAAACATCTATCCACCCATCCATCTCTCTACATATAGCTAATCACACGGCTAAAACGACTACTCACGGGCGGGTGCCATTCCGGCGGAAAGGCAGCGCAGGTAACGGCAGTGCTGACAGGCATTGCGGGAGGACCTGTCAATGACACAGGTGCCCCCGTGTCGGCAGCTGTACGTCAGGCGTCGCTGGATCGTTCTCCTGAAGAAGCCCTGTTGGGTTTAGGTTGGTAGTGATTAGTTACTTGTAGAAATGATGGATAGTGTGGTTAGTCGATCGATCTGCGAAAAAGAAAGACTAACGAAAGAAATATGTAAGTACCCACACATACAGCATAGATATATATGTATGTATTTTTGTATTTATGTACAATTATACTACGCATTTATGTATGCACGTGTATTTGTATTAAGTCTTTACCTTGCAGCCTTCACAAGTCATAGCGCGATAATGGAAACCTGTCGCAGAGTCCCCACACACAGCGCACTGTTCTCCCGGACTCATGTAGGAGGGAAGCCACACATTTGGGGGACCTGACGAGGAAAAAAGTAAGTGTGATGTGAGCGTGATTCGATCGGTGCAAAAATATTGCAGATTGAATACACTTCAAATCTATATAATTACCTACCAAAATCATGTGACCGTGATACACATACAAAAAAGTACGTTATAAAAGTGACACTGCCTCTAGAGTTACGTTAACCATACCGATGCATAACATACTTTAAATTCCGGCGCAGGTAAATCTTTACACATGATAATATGACCCCAAACATATAAAACAGACAGACAAACGGTTCATGCAATTCCAAAACAAATCAAACGCCATTAACACCACCAACACTTACTTCGCGAGGCATCAGAAGACTTCGGCGACGTCTCCGGGCTGGTGCTCGGGGTGACAAGTTCCTCAGGAGGCAAGAAGGGGCCGAAGGGATCCGTCTGGTATTCCATCTTGAACAGCTGACGAATTCACCCTTTTCTTAAATATTACACTTGTCTTTTTTATTTAAAGATTTTGATAATACAATTCTCTCAACCTGGAGTTTATTTTAAGTGATTTGATTATCTTAGAATAATATATATGAAAATCCGTTTCGAAATACTGTGTGCTCCTCAGCTGGTTGACACACTCACTCTAGCGTGTCTAAAAGTCAACTGAGGTTGTTGTCAAACTGTCATGGCATATAGATGACCCGCTGCCTCTCACCCCCAACGACCCTCATTCCCCTTCACAAGCAGTTCGCTGGTTTGTTTTGGGAGACGAGGGTGAAATCACTACGCTCTCTGAATACAAATCACATCATTGTGTGTTCGTTTTAATTATTTGTAAATCGTAGTCTAAATGTTTCGTCTCCTTTGTGTTATATATCGAAATTGAAATATTTTTATTATCAATTACTTGTTTAACTTTTTTGTATGGTACATGTCATATTTTATACTTATTTAGAGGTGATTGTGTTTACTAATATTGATATACACATTTTTTAAACATATAATATAATGATATAATGTATACCGTAGAAATATAGTCCGTAGGCCTATGCTTAATTTCGAACAGGCTTAGAGAAGATTCTCGCAATCTGGGAGAAGATGAAGTATTTTAACCCTTTACTGATCTTTTTAATGAGATTGCACTGGAATTTCAATCAGTGTTAAAATAAGCGACCTATTTTGACCTCAGCAAAAATAACACCAAACGACGTGAGGTTGCAGATGGGTCGAGAAAGTTCACGTGGTGACTTAGCTATCCAGATCAGCCATATTTTCATGCGTATTTTTTCGTGTCTATAAA